TTTGCATCTCAGAGGAAAATCCACTCTCATGTGCAGTTTTCCAAAATGGAATCTACTTCACTTTTAGTGGCTTTATTCCATTGAAATTGTTCTGAAAAGTTCATAGCTTCTTGAAAGCATTGAGGATCACTTCCCTGCATAAAAGTAAAAAATTTAGGACTAAATTTTTTTTGTTACGTTCTTGTTATTTTGCTACGTCTTGGTTAAACCTTAAATTTTTCTTCAAGTCCTTGGTCTTGGTTATTCACTAAGAAAAAATATCGATTTTGTAACGAAAAAATGTAGTTGTATAAATAGACGTTTTGTTGCAAAAATAATTTTGTGACGACAATACATTTGTTGCAGGCTTCATCGTACTCTATGAGTCACGGAATGTTTTCCGCGACAAACTTCAGCCATTCATCGCATTAATAAAATTGCAACTTTGTTTGTTTGACGCGGAATATATCAAATAGCAACACAATATTTGTAGCCATAATGTCGTAGGAATGCATATATGTCTCAAAAAATTAAAAGGGGACAATTCAATTTGTCGCAACGTTTGTTCCAAAAAGGTTTTTATGAGAAAGATGTTTATCGCGAAGGTTAAATCAAAAAATGTATTCTACGACAACTTTCGATCATTCATTGTATTAACAAAATCGCAAGACTATTTGTTTGACACAGAAAATATGAAATAGCAACACCATATTTATAGCCATAATGTTGTTGCAATACATATTCAATATTTATCGTATAATATATTTCAAGATATTTAATATTGTATAATATAATTCAAGATATTCAATATTTATAGTATAATTTATTTTGTAGCAAGTAATGTTTGTAATTAAATTTATTTCACAACACAAAGAGTTTATCGCGTGATATTTGTGCTACGATGTATCGTTGTTACCTAAATTAAAATATAAATGATATCAAAATAGTTAAAAAATCATATTACTATCAACCAGATAGATATAGACCGAGGTATTATTTACAAACTTTTATCATCTCCAAAACCAAAACAAATACAAACTAAACTAAACTAAATAACAGCCAAAATGGGGAAAATCAATAGTAAATTATCAAATAAATTATCATCCCCCCAAAAATCTTATAAACGCTCGATAAATTTCTAAACTGAAGCTTTGAAGGGATCAATCTATCATAGTCAAATCGAATAAGAACATAACCCTGAACTTTATACATGTGGCCATGGATGAAGATCAGAATAATTCCCCTTATTCTTTCTCCAAAACAGGCTAAAATTTACATTGACCTGTGAGAAGGATAGTCAAACATTGTCTAAAGCAATTAAAAAGAAGAACAGTTTCTAAGTTCTGCATATAGGAACAAGTCATCATTACAAATACGAGCCACTCAAGCTTGTCAAGTTAAATAAAACACGACCAAAAAAAATAAGTATACCTCAACAACTCCAACTCCACAACATAACCAACAAGGAGTGATGCAAAAAGAAGGAAAAAAAGAAGCAAGATAGAGAGAGATTTAATTCATAGTTCAAGATACCCAACTTGCTGGTGATTCAGTTATATTCCAGCATTTTTTATCAACTTCCTTTAATCCCTCTATTAACCACCAATTCAAAGCCATAAACCACGGCCTCCAACATTTATTGGGGCCAAAGATAGGCAAAGAAGAGGAAAATTTTCTTTGATTTGATGGTTAACATAGGGATTAAATGGAATTAATCAAAATCTCCCTTAACAAAAGGGAGAGTTATGACTTAAAAGTATAATGAAAACCTTGCTAGCAAGAAAAAATGGAGGCCTCTGAACTAACTCCAAGTCACATTCAGCCAAATATGGAACAAGGAATTGATCCGTCTCCCTGAACATTCACGTATGGCAATGTGAGAGAAATAAGCAAAACAGAGGAATCCGCATAAATTGATTGCAAAATGACAGTGAAGAATTAGAAGATTCACAATCACAAGTGAAGAATACCATCAAGTTATATAATAGATGAAGCAGAAACTGTATATAGTTAATATCATCAAGATTAAAAATAAAAAAGAACTACTGACCTCTCCCAGGCAATGAAATGCGCCATATATACCTCCAAATAAAGTCGAGAATATAGCATACCAGATCTGGGCATCCATTAATAGACCTAAAAAGGCATAGTAGATTTAAAGCAAGAGAGTCGAGACCTAACCAAAAAAGGCACATCAATGAAAGCTTCCTCTAAAACAAAAAGCAAGAAATTTTATTGTAAATATTGTATAATCCATACAAAAATAATTGGCGCCCAAAGTGCAATACAACACTAATATTGCTTTTAGCTTTAAATCACGTGATGAAATGAAAACTAATATCAATGCCAATAATTTGTGTGGACAGCTCCAAACAGTAATATTTACTACCTCAGGGGAAAAACTCATGCCATTGGTATGTTGATATAAGAACAATCATTATATCTTTTGTTGCAATTCAAATCTTTATTAGTTAAACATCAGCTGCTCCATGTCATTATACATTTAGATTAATGAAACAGATCAGATTATCCACTACATAAGCACATTCCAATAAACATAATATGTTCTTCCTTGACCACATGGCATGATACCGAAAGCACCTCAATATAATAATGAGTTAATTAAATAACTCATCATCAACATTTATATCTGGTTACTACTTGCTCACTCACAAATAAAAGGTTACTGAACGCTCACTCAATTTTATAGAACTTTACCCATCCATCATCCTTTCAATTCCATCTGTCCACCTTGACGAAAAAATACACGTGGTGGACGGAAATCCCTCGTGGCATCAAACACCGTTAAATATTGACAACTAGACATTAATCACCAAATGTGAAACAACATTTTCTCTTTAAAAATGCAAGAAACGTTTTTCTCATATTCCCAAATCAAAATTCAATTTCACCAAGAACCCTTAATCCATTTTTTCTCCATAACAACCCATCGATTTCCACCCAAATCAACAAACCTTTCCTTCCAGACCAATCTCTATAGGGAAACCAAGAATCCAAACCACCCCCGAATCGTTCTCAAATTGAAACGAACCCTATAAAGAAAACCAATTATTTTACCTCATCATGGAAAATTCTTCATGATATCATAGAATTTCTTACAAATTTTTAGTGTTATGTCTTCAATGCATGTCTAGACTTACTATTATGTGCCATTCCAAACCGCAAATTGACTACACAAAGTATTTAAATTGATGGCATAGGTTTTGCCATCTCTAAAAATCCTCTAAGAAGTTATGTAGCCATTTGGCCTCTTCACCATATTTGTTCAGTCACAAAGTCCTCATGGATGGAGAACAACTCCGAAAGACTGTTTTGGGATTTGGCTTGATCAAAGTGAAGATTACATCACAAATTTATGTGCTGATTCTGATTGAAATTACAGGGAACATTTAATAGGTTGTTACTGTGTTTTGAATGTGTAACTGGTAGGTTGTTGTTGGTGTTTGTAAGTCTTGATCATGTAGAAATGTAGATGGTGATGGTAGATGTTCAGCTGTTTGACATAATTGTGGAGTCAATGGTTGTAGTGGTAGGTGTATGTGTTGTATTGATGGTTGGGGAATCTTCAACGGAAATCAGATTTTTTTTTTTTTTTTTTTGGCAGTTTTTAATTGAATAGGTTCCTTTTGTTTTCATGTTGGTTACATTTTATGTTTGTTGTGGAAAGATCCTTCGCTGGAAATTTTTTTGAAGTAAAGATATTTACCCAAAAATGAAGGGAAACCAAAATATAAGTGCCCTTTTGCCTAAATACATCAGTGTCATTCTGCCCAAATTTCTGTGTTTTGTGGAGTCAGTGCCCTTATGTAAACTTGAACTCTTGTCATCCCTTAAATCCCCAATTTATATATGATATTAACCAAAAATGTCATATGACAGATTGTGACAATCACAATCAGTTCCTATTCAAGATTTCAAATTACAAATGGACAAAGATACATGCACAAAGTGATCCCTTTACCACATATAATAAGTCTATCTTTCTGCCCAAATTTCTTCATAGATTAAGTTAGCATCATTGAACTTCTGCCTAAATCCACAAAGTCTTGCCTTTTTAAAGTATAAGTAGCATCAGTAATTTTAAAGATATGCAACATTAGCAACCAAAGATCAGTAGCATCAATATTTTTAAATTTTTATCTGTAAATGTGAAATTAGTATCTGTATCTGAATTTCAGCAGTAACAAGAAGCATTACTACTGAAAAAAAAATTAGTGAAAAAATTTTTATACTGGCCAGCATGTGTTTTAATTATTATTTAGTGAAAAAAATTTCCAGAAAAACAAGTGGCAAAACATTGAAATCTGTCACCACATACAAGATTGTCATTGAGATGTAATAACGAGAGCTCTAAAATCAGAAGAAAACTGACATAACTGAAGAAATGGAAACCCACAAAATAGATAGCATAAAGCCACGAGAGTATACGAAGAAAATGTTATAATCGTTAAAACTTGAGAAAGTATTGCAATTAAAAAAAAAATGAATATTCAATGCAACCGAGTACAACACTTGATATTCCAAAAACAAAGTGTTAGACAAAGTGGTCCAATAAAGTGTTCCTCCAAAAATATTTTAGGATATTACCTCCTTGTGGTCCCTCATATGTTGTCTCCAAGATTACTTCTTCAATAATAATGTTGTCTGCCATTTGTGGGGCATGTAAAGGAATTTATGGGTTAATATGAATTTGGGGATTTTTCCAACGTGAGTTCAATATGCAATGGTTTCTTGATTTGGATTTGATGCAAGGAAGAATTGACTAATGTTGTGGAGTAGAAATTGATTTGGGGCTCCAGACAATCGCTCAGTGTTCTGGGAAAAATGCAATGGAAAATTTGGAAGAAAAAACCTACTTAAATTTAATTGATTTTGTTCCACGTTGTCAAAATATTTAACACCGTTACGTCCATGTATGACTTTCATCTACCACGTGGGTTTTTTTTGGTCCATGTGGATGGATGGATTTTAAATGGGTGATGGATGGGTAACTTTATCCAAAAGTCGGTGAGTGATCGGTAACTTTATTTTTGAGTGAGTAAGTAGTAACCGAAGTGAAATGCTAGTGATTGTCTATTTAATTCACTTGTTATTATAACTAAAAGCCAACTTGGTTATGATAAGAAGCACCCAGCCCAATGTATAATTGAAATTTTAAATAAAAGTAAGTAGTAACAAACTATGTGATGTTATACAACCCGAAGGCTTCTGCCTATGATTCCTTACTTGAATAGAGAAAATGAGCTTTGTATCTATGCTTTAAATTGGAAATTCATGCTTTAAAAAAGAAAACAGGCACTCTCTCAGACAAAGAAAGGTACAAGCAATCAATGCACACGGCAAGAACAATCCTGCAACACCCAAAAGTTTTTGTCCATGCTTTAAATTGGAAATAATGTTAAAATTTTGGAATTAAAAGATAGAATTTAAACTAGAAGTATGTAGTATGTACATATATACTTTTGAGGATGAATTTTCCACAGCCATTGGGGACAAGAAGCATCCAGAACTGTCCAGAGTGAAGATTACATCACAAATTTATGTGCTGATTCTGATTGAAATTACAGGGAACATTTAATAGGTTGTTACTGTGTTTTGAATGTGTAACTGGTAGGTTGTTGTTGGTGTTTGTAAGTCTTGATCATGTAGAAATGTAGATGGTGATGGTAGATGTTCAGCTGTTTGACATAATTGTGGAGTCAATGGTTGTAGTGGTAGGTGTATGTGTTGTATTGATGGTTGGGGAATCTTCAACGGAAATCAGATTTTTTTTTTTTTTTTTTTTGATATATATTAAGTAGCATCATTGACCTTCTGCCTAAATCCATAAAGTCTTGCCTTTTTAAAGTATAAGTAGCATCAGTAATTTTAAAGATATGCAACATTAGCAACCAAAGATCAGTAGCATCAATATTTTTAAATTTTTATCTGTAAATGTGAAATTAGTATCTGTATCTGAATTTCAGCAGTAACAAGAAGCATTACTACTGAAAAAAAAATTAGTGAAAAAATTTTTATACTGGCCAGCATGTGTTTTAATTATTATTTAGTGAAAAAAATTTCCAGAAAAACAAGTGGCAAAACATTGAAATCTGTCACCACATACAAGATTGTCATTGAGATGTAATAACGAGAGCTCTAAAATCAGAAGAAAACTGACATAACTGAAGAAATGGAAACCCACAAAATAGATAGCATAAAGCCACGAGAGTATACGAAGAAAATGTTATAATCGTTAAAACTTGAGAAAGTATTGCAATTAAAAAAAAAATGAATATTCAATGCAACCGAGTACAACACTTGATATTCCAAAAACAAAGTGTTAGACAAAGTGGTCCAATAAAGTGTTCCTCCAAAAATATTTTAGGATATTACCTCCTTGTGGTCCCTCATATGTTGTCTCCAAGATTACTTCTTCAATAATAGTGTTGTCTGCCATTTGTGGGGCATGAAAAGAAATTTATGGGTTCATATGAATTTGGGGATTTTTCCAACGGGAGTTCAATATGCAATGGTTCCTTGATTTGGGGTGATTTGGATTTGATGCAAGGAAGAATTGAGTAATGTTGTGGAGTAGAAATTGATTTGGGGCTCCAGACAATCGCTCAGTGTTCTGGGAAAAATGCAATGGAAAATTTGGAAGAAAAAACCTACTTAAATTTAATTGATTTTGTTCCACGTTGTCAAAATATTTAACACCGTTACGTCCATGTATGACTTTCATCTACCACGTGGGTTTTTTTTGGTCCATGTGGATGGATGGATTTTAAATGGGTGATGGATGGGTAACTTTATCTAAAATTCGGTGAGTAATCGGTAACTTTTTATTTTTGAGTGAGTAAGTAGTAACCGAAGTGAAATGTTAGTGATTGTCTATTTAATTAACTCAATTTATGAGCATTAGACAAATGCAATAAATAGTTCATTGAAAAATTAAAATGGGAATATTAAACATAATTTGTAACTTTAAAAGTTAATGCGATATTACAATCGATATAGTTTGATTCCTCAATTCAATTAGTAATACTTCTAAAATCCACTTCTTCCCCATACTACAAGTGAAAGGGAAAATGTAAAGAATATTATTAAAGCAGCCCATTCAAAGTGTAAGTTTTTCTTCAAAAACTAAACAAATTAGAAAGGATTTCACTTCGAGTACGTCCATTTCACTACGAAACTCAAATAAAGCAGTGAAAAAGCAAAATTTATAAGCATTGGACAAAAATGCAATAGAAACCCAGCTGCAGTTTATTGACAATATCAGAATAGAAAATTTTATAGTTCTATTCATTTATCTCCTAGATAATACTCATATCGAGTGCTTTGTGAAAGTCTATTCTCGAGCACTTTGGATTTTCTTCGAGCAGACATACTTTGAAACCATGCTCAAGCACACATGTCCTGAAAAATGTGCTCGAGCGCCTTTTGGATGTTTGCTGAATAGAGAAGAGTTATTCCACTTTCAAGATTTTTAAGGATAAATCTCCTTTACTAGGGCCTGGCCCCCTGGCATTACCAGGGCCTATGTGGCCTGGTAATATAGCAGGGTTCAATTTTTTATGACTTACTCAACCAACTGTTAATATCCGTCAACACAACCTTAATTACAACTTGATTTAATGAGTTTTGGACATGGAACTTGACAAGACTTCTTTAGACCTAAACACATTGTATTAGCTCATTCATTCTAGAGCTCATTTCGATGACTTTTCAACTAACTCTCTATTTAATTTTTTTGTAAGAGGATTTAAAATATTACCCTTTGACCTTACCTATGAATAGAGATAACTTTGGTTGAAAGTATTGTCTTATAGTGTTATGTCTTCAATGCATGTCTAGACTTACTATTATGTGCCATTCCAAACCGCAAATTGACTACACAAAGTATTTAAATTGATGGCATAGGTTTTGCCATCTCTAAAAATCCTCTAAGAAGTTATGTAGCCATTTGGCCTCTTCACCATATTTGTTCACGGGTATAAACTAAAATTTCAAAGTAGATCCAGTTTTATCGCCCGCTTAGAGGATTTTCATGATACACAAATCCACTTGTAGATGTTGAATCTTTTTCTTTTCTTTTTTTTATATCATTTAATAGTCGATGGATATCTGGTATAATGCAATCCATAGCTACGAGTATATCTTAAATATGTGAGTATTCTTACTATTCATTTCTAGTAGTAAGCTCTTGGATTATCTACTTTATTTACTAACTTTTTAAGTGATATCTAGTCTCGTACAACTCATTAAGTACATCATATTCTCAATAGTTGTAAAGTAACTTGAAAGACACCATCATTTATAACTATCAACGTTCTAGTCACACCAGAATCATCCTTGTTAAAATTTCAAGTATTTTGTTCACATAATATGACCGACTTACAACGAGACCATCGTGACGTTCTTAAAATTTTAATTCTAAGTACCACATCAGCTAAACCCATATCTTTCATGTCAAATTTGAATTTAACATATCTTTAAAATATTTAATCATCTCATATGGTATGAACAATAAGCGTATTATCAACCTAAAGGCATGAAATAACATTACTTTTATAGGCGTCTTTGACATAAATGCATTTGTTATACTTATTGATCTTAAATATACATTCTATTATGACATTATCAAACTTCTCATGACATTGTTTTAGTGCTTGTCTCAAGCCATAAAACGACTTCACTAATTTACAAACTTTATTTTCCTGCCATATTGAAGAAAAATCATCAGGTTGTTCTACATAGAGTTCTCCCTCTAATTCCATTAAGAAAATTAGTTTTAATATTCATTTGATATACTTCAAGATTTCGCAGTGCTATAATTGTAAGTATCATCTTAATAGATGTTATTCTCTTTATTAGATAAAAGTAATCGAGGCCTTCTTTTCATCTATAGTCTTTTATCAATAGCCTAGCCTTTTACTTTCTGACAACTCCTCCTACTTTCACTTTACTTTTGAAAATTCATTTGTAACATAAATGTTTGCACCTCAAAGGAAAATCCACTCTCATGTGCAGTTTTCCAAAACGGAATCTACTTCACTTTTAGTGGCTTTATTCCATTGAAATTCTTCTGAAAAGTTCATAGCTTCTTGGAAGCTTTGAGGATCACTTCCCTGTATAAAAGTAAAAAATTTAGGACTAAAAGTTTTTTGTTACGTTCTTGTTATTTTGCTACGTCTTGATTAAACCTTAAATTTTTCTTCAAGTCCTTGGTCTTGGTTATTCACTACAAAAAAATATCGATTTTGCAACGAAAAAATGTAGTTGCATAAATAGTCGTTTTGTTACAAAAATAATTTTGTGACGACAATACATTTGTTGCAGGCTTCGTCGTACTATATGAGTTACGGAATGTCTTCTGCGACAAACTTCAGCCATTCATCGCATTAATAAAATTGCAACTTTGTTTGTTTGACGCAGAATATATGAAATAACAACACAATATTTGTAGCCATAATGTCGTAGGAATGCATATATGTCTCAAAAAATTAAAAGGGGACCATTCAATTTGTCGCAACGTTTGTTCCAAAAAGGTTTTTAAGAGAAAAATATTTGTCGTGAAGGTTAAATCACATAATGTATTATACGACAACTTTCGATCATTCATTCTATTAACAAAATCGCAACACTATCTGTTTGACACAGAAAATATGAAATAGCAACACCATATTTATAGCCATAATGTCGTCACAATACATATTCAATATTTATCGTATAATATATTTCAAGATATTTAATATTGTATAATATATTTCAAGAGATTCAATATTTATAGTATAATTTATTTTGTAACAAGTAATGTTTGTAATTAAATTTATTTCTCAACACAAAGAGTTTATCGCGTGATCATTTTTGCTACGATGTATCATTGTTACCTAAATTAAAATATAAATGATATCAAAATAGTTAAAAAATCATATTACTATCAACTAGATAGATATAGACCGAGGTATTATTTACAACCTTGGTTATCTCCAAAATCAAAACAAATACAAACTAAACTAAACTAAACTAACAGCCAAAACGGGGAAGATCATAGTAAATTATCAAATAAATTATCATCCCCAAAAATCTTATAAACGCTCGATAAATTTCTAAACTGAAGCTTTGAAGGGATCAATCTATCATGCTCAAATCGAATAAGAACATAACCCGGAACTTTATACATGTGGCCATGGATGAAGATCAGAATAATTCCCCTTATTATTTCTCCGAAACAGGCTAAAATTTACATTGACCTGTGAGAAGGATAGTCAAACATTGTCTAAAGCAATTAAAAAGACGAACAGTTTCTAAGTTCTGCATATAGTAACAAGTCATCATTACAAATATGAGCCACTCAAGCTTGTAAAGTTAAATAAAACACGACCAAAAAAATAAGTATACCTCAACAACTCCAACTCCACAACATAACCAACAAGGAGTGATGCAAAAAGAAGGAAAAAAAGAAGCAAGATAGAGAGAGATTTAATCCATAGTTCAAGATAACCAACTTGCTGGTGATTCAGTTATATTCCAGCATTTTTTATCAACTTCCTTTAATCCCTCTATTAACTACCAATTCAAAGCCATAAACCATGGACTCAAACATTTATTGAGGCCAAAGATAGGCAAAGAAGAGGAAAATTTGATGTGATTTGATGGTTAACATAGGGATTAAATGGAATTAATCAAAATCTCCCTTAACAAAAGGGAGAGTTATGACTTAAAAAGTATAATGAAAACCTTGCTAGCAAGAAAAAATGGAGGCCTCTGAACTAACTCCAAGTTACATTCAGCCAAATACGGAACAAGGAATTGATCCATCTCCCTGAACATTCACGTACGGCAACGTGAGAGAAATAAGCAAAACAGAGGAATCCACATAAATTGATTGCAAAATGACAGTGAAGAATTAGAAGATTCACAATCACAAGTGAAGAATACCATCAAGTTATATAATAAATGAAGCAGAAACTGTATATAGTTAATATCATCAAGATTAAAAATAAAAAAGAACCACTGACCTCTCCCAGCCAATGAAATGCGCCATATATACCTCCAACTAAAGTTGAGAATATAGCATACCAGATCTGGGCATCCATTAATAGACCTAAAAAGGCATAGTAGATTTAATGCAAGAGAGTCGAGACCTAACCAAAAAAGGCACATCAATGAAAGCTTCCTCTAAAACAAAAAACAAGAAATTTTATTGTAAATATTGTATAATCCATACAAAAATAATTGGCGTCCAAAGTGCAGTACAACACCAATATTCCTTTTAGCTTTAAATCAGGTGATGAAATGAAAACTAATATCAATGCCAATAATTTGTGTGTACAGCTCCAAACAATAATATTTACTACCTCAGGGGAAAAACTCATGCCATTGGTATGTTGATATAAGAACAATCATTATATCTTTTGTTGCAATTCAAATCTTTATTAGTTAAACATCAGCTGCTCCATGTCATTATATATTTAGATTAATGAAACAGATCAGATTATCCACTACATAAGCACATTCCAATAAACATAATATGTTCTTCGTTGACCACATGGCATGATACCGAAAGCACCTCAATATAATAACGAGTTAATTAAATAACTCATCATCAACATTTATACCTGGTTACTACTTACTCACTTACAAATAAAAGGTTACTGAACGCTCACTCAATTTTATAGAACTTTACCCATCCATCATCCTTTCAATTCCATCTGTCCACCTTGACGAAAAAATACACGTGGCGGACGAAAATCCCTTGTGGTAACAAACACCGTTAAATATTGATAACTAGACATTAATCACCAAATTTGAAACAACATTTTCTCTTTAAAAATGGCAAGAAACTTTTTTCTCATATTCCCAAATCAAAATTCAATTTCACCAAGAACCCTAAATCCATCTTTTCTCCATATCAACCCATCGATTTCCACCCAAATCAAAAAACCTTTCCTTCCAGGCCCATCTCTACAGGGAAACCAAGAATCCAAACCACCCCCGAATCACTCTCAAATGGAAACGAACCCTATAAAGAAAACCAATTATTTTACCTCATCATGGAAAATTCTTCATGATATCATAGAATTTCTTACAAATTTTGTGTCATTGTGGTTAGAGAGCTGTCACAAAGTCCTCATGGATGGAGAACAACTCCGAAAGACTGTTTTGGGATTTGGCTTGATCAAAATGAAGATTACAACACAAATTTATGTGCTGATTCTGATTGAAATCACAGGGAACATTTAATAGGTTGTTATTGTGTTTTGGATGTGTAATTGGCAGGTTGTTGTTGGTGTTTGTAAGTCTTGATCATGTAGGAATGTAGATGGTGATGGTAGATGTTCGGCTGTTTGACATAATTGTGGAGTCAATGGTTAGGTGTATGTGTTGTATTGATGGTTGTGGAATCTTCAACGGAAATCAGATTTTTTTTTTTTTTTTTTTGGCAGTTTTTAATTGAATAGGTTCCTTTTGTTTTCATGTTGGTTACATTTTATGTTTGTTGTGGAAAGATCCTTCGCTGGAAATTTTTTTGAAGTAAAGATATTTACCCAAAAATGAAGGGAAACCAAAATATAAGTGCCCTTTTGCCTAAATACATCAGTGTCATTCTGCCCAAATTTCTGTGTTTTGTGGAGTCAGTGCCCTTATGTAAACTTGAACTCTTGTCATCCCTTAAATCCCCAATTTATATATGATATTAACCAAAAATGTCATATGACAGATTGTGACAATCACAATCAGTTCCTGTTCAAGATTTCAAATTACAAATGGACAAAGATACATGCACAAAATGATTCCTTTACCACATAGAATAAGTATTTCTGCCCAAATTTCTTCATATATTAAGTAGCATCATTGACCTTCTGCCTAAATCCATAAAGTCTTGCCTTTTTAAAGTATAAGTAGCATCAGTAATTTTAAAGATATGCAACATTAGCAACCAAAGATCAGTAGCATCAATATTTTTAAATTTTTATCTGTAAATGTGAAATTAGTATCTGTATCTGAATTTCAGCAGTAACAAGAAGCATTACTACTGAAAAAAAAATTAGTGAAAAAATTTTTATACTGGCCAGCATGTGTTTTAATTATTATTTAGTGAAAAAAATTTCCAGAAAAACAAGTGGCAAAACATTGAAATCTGTCACCACATACAAGATTGTCATTGAGATGTAATAACGAGAGCTCTAAAATCAGAAGAAAACTGACATAACTGAAGAAATGGAAACCCACAAAATAGATAGCATAAAGCCACGAGAGTATACGAAGAAAATGTTATAATCGTTAAAACTTGAGAAAGTATTGCAATTAAAAAAAAAATGAATATTCAATGCAACCGAGTACAACACTTGATATTCCAAAAACAAAGTGTTAGACAAAGTGGTCCAATAAAGTGTTCCTCCAAAAATATTTTAGGATATTACCTCCTTGTGGTCCCTCATATGTTGTCTCCAAGATTACTTCTTCAATAATAATGTTGTCTGCCATTTGTGGGGCATGTAAAGGAATTTATGGGTTAATATGAATTTGGGGATTTTTCCAACGTGAGTTCAATATGCAATGGTTTCTTGATTTGGATTTGATGCAAGGAAGAATTGACTAATGTTGTGGAGTAGAAATTGATTTGGGGCTCCAGACAATCGCTCAGTGTTCTGGGAAAAATGCAATGGAAAATTTGGAAGAAAAAACCTACTTAAATTTAATTGATTTTGTTCCACGTTGTCAAAATATTTAACACCGTTACGTCCATGTATGACTTTCATCTACCACGTGGGTTTTTTTTGGTCCATGTGGATGGATGGATTTTAAATGGGTGATGGATGGGTAACTTTATCCAAAAGTCGGTGAGTGATCGGTAACTTTATTTTTGAGTGAGTAAGTAGTAACCGAAGTGAAATGCTAGTGATTGTCTATTTAATTCACTTGTTATTATAACTAAAAGCCAACTTGGTTATGATAAGAAGCACCCAGCCCAATGTATAATTGAAATTTTAAATAAAAGTAAGTAGTAACAAACTATGTGATGTTATACAACCCGAAGGCTTCTGCCTATGATTCCTTACTTGAATAGAGAAAATGAGCTTTGTATCTATGCTTTAAATTGGAAATTCATGCTTTAAAAAAGAAAACAGGCACTCTCTCAGACAAAGAAAGGTACAAGCAATCAATGCACACGGCAAGAACAATCCTGCAACACCCAAAAGTTTTTGTCCATGCTTTAAATTGGAAATAATGTTAAAATTTTGGAATTAAAAGATAGAATTTAAACTAGAAGTATGTAGTATGTACATATATACTTTTGAGGATGAATTTTCCACAGCCATTGGGGACAAGAAGCATCCAGAACTGTCCAGAGGGGAAGCTGAGCGAACAATTGTTGAGGATGGGAACAACTTTTCCATACCATTGGGTGATTGAGAAGCTCAGATTTCAACATTCTATCAGTGGATTAGTGGTTACGGCGTTGCCATTATTCATCGTGGAATATGAGTGGCGAAGCGGGAGGGCGGAGGATCAGATTTCGAAAAATACATTCATATTTGCTTCGATTTCAAAAAATCGAAGGAAAATCGAGCAACCTTGGCTTGGGAGCTGAGCTTCTGGTGACGTTACGAACGGAGGATGATCGTAGTATAGATATCGTGGTGGCGATGGCCATTTCTTTGACTTTGGAAAAGAGAGTGAGTTGTGGTTGTGGCTTTATTGCAGAGGGAAAGAGAAAGATATGGAAGAACGGTTACAAAGGAAGTGACAAGAGATACGACTCAAGGAAGAAGGAAAGGGTTTTAATTTTGGATCGGATCAGCTCTTGTGAAAAAAATTAAGTAAAAAATGAATTTTTTTCGAAAAAGGAAAAGAGTTTTTATTTTGGGTCGAATCGGATCCAATGAAAAAAAATTTAAATAATAAGGAAATTTATTGCCTGAAATTTTTCTTATTAATCAACGAACATTGCAAAAGACTATATATTAGGAGTTTCAAATATAGACACTGAAATTAAAATAAATAAATTAATTAATTAAACGAGCAGTGAACAAATTTTTTTTCCCTTTTTACATTCCGAAAAACTCCGAGTGGGAAAAACCATGACGTATTGCATGAAATTAATGTCAAACATTATTTGCTTTCATTTCGAAATACGGAATTCTTGACTGCCTGCTGATATTATATGAATTATGATTTGTTAATTTATTTAAGTGTTAAGACATCTATTTTCCTTTATGAATTGATTCTGCCTAGTAGTTTTTTTGTAAGTTATTATGTGATTAAAAGTTTAATCATCTAATGATTTTTTTTGAGATATATATTTTTTTCTAGAAATTTTATAAAGCTTTTTATATTATAAAATTTTTTCTCTTGGTAAAAAATAATTGAAGTTCAAAAAAAAATTATATTACATATTAAAATTTAGCCAGGCGAAAAAACAAGCACTTGTTACAAAAAAAATTAAAAAATAAAAGAACATTGCAAAAAAAAAGTTAAGACAATATGCAAAGAGTGTTGCGAAATATAATAAAAGCAACGGACGATGCACTTCGCAAAAACTTAACAACATATTTTTGATGACTTCTGCAGTGTCATTGCACGTTGTCGTATCCTCCTACTCTATGATAATATTAAAGCCTACAATATACGGGTGAACATTGTAAAAAACCTAATGCAACATTTTTTTGTCTGTTACAAAATACAATTTTTCTTGTAGCGATTTTACCTCTAGCTATAGAATTTTTAGCAACAAATATATCTTATCGTAAAAAGTAAACCTTATTGCATTACAAACATTTTGTTGCAAGAAATAAAAGTTTGTCGCCATAAGTTTCCCATCAAAAGTATTTTGGCGCCTTGCTTCCCTCATATTTTTGGTGACACTCTTTAGTATTTGTCGCGACTTCTTACATTTCACGACAATTTTTTATGTCGCCTTATATTTTTTGGTACTTATTTCTTTATCACAATATTCGTGAAACTTTAAAAACGTGGCACGTTGAATAATTTATTGTGACAAACTTTTGTATTTCGCGAAAAATTTTGTCGCAAAATCACAATTTTATTGTAGTATTGTCGACCAAAGTTTTATGTGTCTGTTTAGAGGAGCTTATTTTCTCGTCGAATATATATAGAAATACATATCTAAAGAAAAAATATTTCTCGATTTTATTATTGTAATTTCGTGTATATCCGATAAGCACTGCTATTATATGCATATAGCTAATGAAGATGCAATCTAAGTTTTTGGGGTCTATTTACAACTTTAGTGTAGGTAAAACCACTTTGACAAGATATCCCCTATAATCCTAAGTATTTATAGGAATATTCCTTCATTTCCATTACGCATAGGGGCTTTATCTTCTGGGCACCTAATTTAAATGGTAATTCAGCGACAATACAATTTTTTTCGCATGTTATGATGTAATCCAAAATTTACTGACGTCGCATTCATCATTTATTTTAAAGTACAATTTTCATTCGACTACAGTATTTTGTTGAGGTGAATAAAGTGATGTGTTTCATAATTCATGTATGATCCTTGTTGTGCATATAAGGTCACTTGTTAGCACCTTAATTTCTTATTGAGTTGAATTTCCATTCATTCATATAAACACCAAATTTCTGTATAGTTTCATTCTTCATTCTTATTAATAAGCAGATACATATAATAGTATTTTGTACTATCATCAACAACAGTAATTAAGTACTTGTTGCCATCTATTATTTTTACATATCAAAAATCATAAATTTATTTAATTGTAAATTAAATCAAGTGGATCTATATTCCTGTTATAGAGTAAAATGTTGACCTTGCCTATTTTAACACAACACAAGTCTCATGCTTATGTTTAGTAAAATATGAAATTCGGGTATAAAATTCAAGTTAATTAATCTACCAAACTATCATAATAAATATATCACCATATTACAAATTGTAACACTCAAGTGAGCATAAAATAATTGGCTTTATTTGTTTTCGGCTTTACGAACATTACATTGAGCTTAAACAGCGAATGAGCTCTTGCCAACAAATATTTCACTCTTTTGACTAAAACACCATAAGAAAATCATGCCTATTCAAAAGCAATTAGAACACTACGTTTTTACAAATTTTCGGTACATACATCATATTGTTAAGAGAACTCTTTTCTAGAAGTTATCTTCATAACAACCATGCCTTGACCCTTGATCTCGAATGTTGCTAAGTTTCCCATAAATAGCTTGTCCCCATTCTTAGTCGCTTTAAATGAAGTGAACAACTCTTTATTAAAGCAAACATATAGCACCAGTGTCAATCCACCATCACCCAAGACTAACTTGAATTGTTAAAGCATTGACCAGCTATTTGAGCCATTGTCTAGGTCACATTATGAGTCGGCAATTAAGCCACATTCTCAATCACAGCAAGACTTGGAAAATGAGCCAAAATCTGGTTTTCAGTAGACACGTTCATAAGGCTAGATCTAGTTTCCATTCATGAAACACGAAACAAACTACTAATTTTCTAACTCAAACATAATACTACATATTTGAAAAATATGATTTCAGATTGTTAGAAAAACTTAGAATATAATAAAATGTTAATAATTACAGAAAGAACAAAAAAAATAAAATAAAACAAAAAATAACAACTGCAAAAAATATGAATCACGAACAAGAACAAAATTTGAAAATTGAGGCGTGTATTACACGTTATCATTAATACACATTCGTTCTCTCATTGTGAGTATTTGATAGAACAGATTGAGGGGCCGGCTGGGGCAACGCATTTTAATTTTTCAGATAATTTTTTGTGTGAAATTATTTTGTATATTGGCCTAGTTTAAATTTTTTTTTAGTTCAATTCTAGCTTCGCCCATGCTGCTTGAGAGAGCTTGTGTTTGGAAAAGCTTGTCACCTTCCAGTGGAACATGGAAATAACAATAGCAAGAGAAAAAAAGGATGATGTAGCTGAATGAATTAGATGAATTTCGGATGGATGCTTTTGAGAATGCAAAGCTGTATAAGGAGAGGATGAAGAAACAGCATGATAAATACATACAGAGATGCTAGTTCACTCGAGGTTAAAAAGTATTGTTGCTCAATTCTAGGTTGAAACTTTTTATTAGGAAATTGCGTTCTAGATGGTCTGGACCATTTATATTTGTTCAAGTCTTTCCACATGGAGCAGTTGAGGTGACTCACGTGACAAAGGGCATCTTTAAGGTAAATGAACGTCGTTTGAAAGCATATTGAATGGTGATTTTGATAAAGAGAGGTCATTCACCCAACTCAACAATCCAAAATGATCAAGCTACCAAGTCCAACTAAAGTATATAAATTAAGCGCTTATTGGGAGGCAACCCAATTTTCTAACCCTTTTATTTATTTTGCTTTTCTTATTGCATTGCATGTAGTGCTATTTTTAATTTTTAGGTTGCATTATTATAGGTACATTTCAATTCAGTTTGAGGTTCATCACATCTACACTTAGCCTAAATAAGAGAGTAATCTATTTGGGTCACAAATAATAGAAAACTCATGTTGGCATTCCTTTCAAGGTTCCAAGGATGTTTTCCACTACTTTTGTCTTTTACAATCATTTTCTTTCACCTTGGTAGGTAATTGGATGTCAAACAGAAGTAGCTTAACATTATGATGAATCAATTACATTGTTTCAACAAGTTACTTTAGAAATATCTGACATAACATCTGGGGATGACCATTTTCTTTTTCTTCCTCGCCCCTTTATATGCTTATTTATACTTTATGACATTGAGGACAATGTTAGTTTTATGTTTGGGGGTGGGGAAAATTTTGAGTATTGCTTGAGTTTTTGTTTTTTTTTTTTTTTTTTTTTTTTTTTTGTTGTTTTTTTTTTTTTTTTTTTTTTCGTATGTTTGTGTATTTTAGAGTGTTTGATTTTAGTGTTGCTTTAGTATACATAAAAAAATCAAAAAAATTGAAGAATTTCAAAAATATTTTCTTTTATTAGGTTGTGTGCTTGTTTGGATTAGATACCCTGGCTGGCAATAATGATTTAATTTGAGATTTGGTGTTGATTTATGAATTGTGGATATATTACATGCTTAAATTAATCAATGCTTAGCCTTGCAGAACTTGATATTATAAGCGCATTAGAATTGACCATGATGTAATAAGTTGATTCACATGCTGGATAGGTTGAATGATTGAACATAGATGCTATACCTAAAACTATTCTAAGTTAATTATATCCTTAGACCAAATTTAGTATAGTTTGGGGGTGATTTTACTGTTGTAGGAAGATACAGATGTGAATGGGAATTCCTTGTGTGAAAAAAAGTTATGTGTGTATTGTCTTAGATTAATGAGATAAAATTGGACGAAAGTTGTAAGTTAGAGGTTAGTATGTTGGAGTAGATGTTTGAAATTTGAAACTTCTCTTTGAAACCTTTATGTAATACCTTTTATATATATATATACACACACACACACACAAAAAGTCCAAATCTAAAAGAAAAGTAAAAAAAAAAAAAAAAAAAAAAAAAGAAAAAAGAAATAGAAAACGGTAAAACACACAATGAGAGAAATCAAGAGCTGGGGAGAAAAGAAAGAGAAAAGAAAGGGAAAAAAGGGAGAAGATAGGGATGTCAAACGGCCTGGCTCAGAGCAGGGGGCTCAAACACACGAGCCATTTTAACAACCCACGAGTCGAGCTGTGGGCTCATCAAAAAATATGATTTTTTTTTAAAAAAGGTCCAAAAATGTGCAAATTTACAAAAAATAAAAAATAAAAAAATT